GCTACTGGGAGTTGGCTCCAGGACCTGGGCTGCGGCCGGGGCCGGGGTCACGGGGGACGCGAGCCCCGAGCACCGTGCGCCCCGGTGTAAGCTGCACGCGGGACAATGGGCGCGGCGTGAAGGGTGCGCGCTCCGCCTGCCCGCGCCCGGGCTCCTGCGCCCCTTCCGCCCCGGGCTGCGGTCTCGCTGCCACCCCTGTCTGCTCCAACTGCACGGGCGCTCCGTACAAGGCGCCTGCGGCGCGTTCCCGGAGCGGCCACCTGGCCGCGAGGCCCCGCGCCTGGCCGCCAGCTGGCCGCGGCGCCGGCGATGGCTGGGCACAGCCGGGCCTCTTGGCCGCCTGCCCTGGGTTAAAGGCAGCTCCCCTGCAGCGCCGCGAGTGCCAACTCCTCCGCGCTGGCTGCCGAGCGGAGCGGCGGGAGAGCCGCGTGCCACCGGCCGGGGTGCCCGGGGCCACCGAGCTGCCACTTCCCCGTGCGGGTTTGGAGTTTAGGGAAGCCGAGCAGGTGGCGCAGCCGCCGCCTCACCTCCTGCGAACTCCGCGGGGCTTCTGGTCTTGTTGATGTTTTGACTGTGGGCTGTGTGTGTGTGTGTTTCTTCCTTTCCTGTTCCTTTTTTTTTAACCACACACAAAAGAAGGGAGGAGTTAGAAAAAAAGATCAAGCCAGCGCGCAGTGAACCATCCAACACTGTTATCTCTGGAAGAGCAGATGGATGAGGAGAATTCCTTGAGGAACAGTTACAGTAACGACTGACTGGATCTCCTCTCTGTCCCCTCTCCCGGCAGTCCAGTCCTGACCGTGGCTGGTACAGCCCCAGATGGACGTGGGGTGAAGTGATGCGGGCTGACTTAGATGGGAAAATGGCTACAAGCTAGCAAGCTGGAAACTTTCTGGGACAGCGTAACTGTGAATGTCGAACCTCACCCAGTCATTCTTGCGGTAGGCAGGCATGGCTCTCGCCTGTTAGTGAATTTAAAAGAGGAAAGGCTATCACAAGAGGAAGATACTTTGAGTAGCTTTTTTTTTTTCCAGCTCTGCCTGGTGGAGGGCGGTGGAGATGACAGGCTCCCATACCTCCAGGGCCCCAAGAGAGGAGCTGCTAGCTCAAGTCTCCAGATGCTGGGTCAGAAATGATGGTGTTCTTTAATCTGATTTCCAGAAGCCCTGTCTCGGCTCAGCCTGGCAGAGGGCAACTTGCGTTTGGATGGATTGTTACTGATGAGGTAGAAAGGTCGGCCAGAGGCCAGCAGGCCCTTCCATGCATGTGGAGGAATATTCTGTAGTAGGTGGCTACCGCTACTGTTTCAGGGTGAATCCTTTAGGTTTAGTCTCACCATTCCTGTTTCCTGCAGTCCAAGGCTGCTGGGTCCCCAGGGTTCACAGCTTCGTGACATGTGTTTTGGGAGGTGGGGCCCTTGTTTGAGGTCTTTTTCACCATTGATGATGGATTAATTTGTTTTAACCCCCTAACAATAGAGGCTTCATATTAGAAGTTTTGCGAAATTGAGACTAAAGAGCCTTTTGCTTTGTTCCAAATTCAGTTCCCTCTAGGGCCAGTTAATTCTGAACAGTGCGAAATGAGCACAGGAGTCAGAGAGGGGTCAAAGCAGCAGCTCTATCACTGGTCAGACTGGCCGCAGCACCACTTTGGATGGAGCCTGAGGCCTCCATGAGGCTCCCTTCTTTTTACCTCATACGGTAAATTTACCATCCAGCCACACCCCGGAGCCAAGGCTCCCAAGCAGGACACCTGGAGGAGAGGAATGGGACAGTGCAGCTGGGGACCTGTCAAGAGAAAAACAGAATGTGGGCCTTCCTATTTCATGGCCTGCGAACACAGGGGTGGAGGGATGGGTCCACTGGTCTGTACCACCTCACTCTGGCAGGACTTCTACTTGAGCACCAAGCCTGGGTTCACCACAGAACAAAGTCCATTTCCCGTTGGAGGAAGCGAGGTTGGGAGCAGGGTCACTTTGTTACACTCTGCAGCTTGTGCAGGACATACAGACACCAGCCAAGCACGCAGTGCCCTGGGCCCATCCAAAGAAGGGCACCTTTTTCTCAGTGGTATCAGGACACCAAATAGGCTACTGCTGGCCTGGGTTGGGAAGCCCATCTGCAGGAATAAAGAATCGATGGCCATATCAGTGTTCCCCAGATGGGAGATCAGGGGACCAGGCACGGAACCAGTTTCTCCAAAATAGTAACAGTAAGGGGAACTAATTGTTTCCATACATTCTGTCTTCTAATCCTTATGACAACCTCCCGAAGTATACAGTGGTACCCAGTTGTGCCGAAGAGGAACTGATCCTCAAGGTCTCAAAGGTAGCAAGTCCAAGTCAGCCTGCCTCCAGAGCTTGTGCTCTTAACGACACCCTGAGAACTTTGCATAGATTCCTAACACATTGGAGCTTTTATTGCATTTGCTAATCCACAGTATTTTCTGAACTATCCCAGTGTATACACTAATCATCATGCCTTCAGTGAAAAGGGCATTTTTGAGTATTTTCAGGGACAGCAAAGTAGTGAGAACCTTGGTGACTTGGGAGGGAAGCCACAATGAGGAGACAGGAGGCCAGCAGAAAAGAATAAGGTGGAGGGCAAGGAACGGGGCGGACTCTAGGTTCCCTGATGTCCCTGCAATAGAAGAGGGGGAGAACATTCTGAGATTGACTCAACTGTCCTGGCGACTGAGTCTGGGCCTGGCCCACCAGGGTACTGCTGATGTTCGGGTCCACAGTCTTCCTTCCGTATATCCAGGCTGTCGCCTGAGTACCAAAACAATTTACCTGTATTGTAAATACTCTGATATGAAAAGTGGAGCAGGACAGCGAATTTAGGAGCACAGATTATCTCTTGCTTCGGTGTTCTTCCCGTATGGGTATTGGAACCTCACAACAGCCTTTTGTGAAATAATATTCAAATATTTGGGCCTAAAGCAGGTAACATCAAGACCAGCTCTGTGACCATTCTCAGCTCACAGCTGATTTATTTTAGGGTGCCTGGGTGAGTGGCTCAGTCGGTTAAACATCTAACTCCTGATCTCAGCTCAGGTCTTGATCTCAGGGTCAGGAGTTCAAGCCCTGCATTGGAGCTCAATGGAGACTTACTTAAAACAACAACAAAAACTCTGATGTATTTTCCTCTGTATTAATTTTCCAAATCCAAGAACAGTTTTATTCCCTCTGTGTTAAGTTGTGGTATCTTTCTAACTGCATGGTCTTTGTGATTTTTTTTCACATTTTTGTTTGTTTTGCTTTGCCTTTTTTGTAGCAGTTTCTTTAGCTGAAACGTAGACATAGTGGTAGGGGCCTGCATGGTGACCTGTATTGTATTTGTGGCTGTACTTTGGATATCACCAATGGTCTGTACTTTCAGTGGAAAAGAAAAAAGGCAGCAGACAATAGCTGGACTATTTCCCCCCAGCATTTGCGGGAGTGTGAGTTCCATTAAGTGGGAGAAGCTTGAGGGACCAGCAGTGAGGGAGATACAGAGCCTTTCCTCTCTGGATTGTAATCTGGACCCCTTTCCAGCACCTGGAGAGGGGCAACGTTATCAGAGGATAATGTGTCCCGTTGACTGTTGGATCTTTCGCCACATTCACTCAGATAAAAGCCTACAGAAAAGATGTCTGTGACCTCGGCCTGTTTTGCTGACTTCTTATTGATTCCATCGTCTGGGGTGGATCTAAATACATCTAAAACTGCCTTCCCAATCAAGGGCTCTGGGATTCTCTTCCACCTTACCATGAAAAGACTGGGGGCCGGGTCCCTTCCTAGTGTAGACAATAAACCAGAATGCTAAAGGGGATCTTTTTTTTTTTTTTAAGATTTTATTTATTTATTTGAGAGAGAATGAGATAGAGAGAGAGCATGAGAGGGGGGAGGGTCAGAGGGAGAAGCAGACTCCCCGCTGAGCAGCGAGCCTGATGAGGGACTCGATCCAGGGACTCCAGGATCATGACCTGAGCCGAAGGCAGTCGCTTAACCAACCGAGCCACCCAGGCGCCCGCTAAAGGGGATCTTGAGAAATAGTTCTGTGCCTGTGTTTTTACCCTTCTTAAAGAAAGTGCTTGTAATCATAGTTACCTCCCCTGAACAGTCATTACAGCCAGACAGCAGTCCTAAGCACTTCAGGTGGGTATTTTGTTTAATGGCAACTACGTAAGGTAGAACAGTTATCCCCATTGTAGAGGCTAGGAAACTGAGGCCAGAGAGGTTAAGTAACTTGTCCAAGGTAACACAAGATCGGAACCTGAACGGTTTGAGCTAAACAGGATTCTGTAAATCCAAAGAAAGCACCTGTTGAGGGAGTAGCGGGAATAGGGACAGATAAAATGTAATTTGCAGGGTAGTTTGATATTCGGGCAAGTTCCAAGGCAGGAAGCTCTCTTGGGCAGTTCTCACCACTGGAAAGTTCTTATGCTTTGCTGAGTGGCACAGGAAGTAGACTCCAAAAGGGCAGGTGACATGCACAAGGCGCAGAACTAATAAATGGCAAGGCAGAGGGACAACCCGTTCTGATTTTAACATTTTTGCCTGTTTGAAAAAAAAGTTAAAAAATTAAGAGTGTATTTTTTTTTTAAAGATTTTATTTATTTATTTGAGAGAGAGAATGAGAGACAGAGAGCACGAGAGGGAAGAGGGTCAGAGGGAGAAGCAGACCCCCCGCTGAGCAGGGAGCCCGATGCGGGACTTGATCCCGGGACTCCAGGATCATGACCTGAGCCGAAGGCAGTCGCTTAACCACCTGAGCCACCCAGGCGCCCAAGAGTGTATTTTTAACTTGACTCTTTCTTCAACATTGAAGGTTATATCCTTACCTGGACTAGCTTTTCCTCCTCTACTTTAGGATTCAGCTCGGCCTTTTCTGGACTAAGGTATTGTCCTAAACCAATGAGTCTACAGTGTTCTCTCCTTCCTCTGTGTATGAACCTCTCAGCTGGCCTTTGATTGTGGGCCCTGCCTCATCATCTGTGTTAAAACCCCTCTCTCTGGATTTTCATCTAACTGGCATGAGTGTCTGAGTTTTGAGAGAGACTGTAAGCTCTTTCAGAATCAGGACCATGTTTATACACTAGCTCCCCCTCC